TTTTTTTTTTTTTTTTTTTTTTTTTTTTTCCAACGACATAAACTGCTATATTAAAACCATAAAATGGTAATGTTACAAATAGTCAAATACAGCCTGGGAAACTGAGAGGCCATTCAAAAACATTTGCAGCCTAGCCGAACCAAATGAGAGATCAACAAAGCAAACTACATAATCTAAAACATAGCAACATACAGAAGGAACATACAGTACAAATGACCCATACATTATCAATTTCTCCAAATGAATAACATAAACCAAGGACTAAACCTGAAACCACTGCTAAACAGCCTAGCTCCATTTCAGCTCCTATCATTTATGCTCATGAATTGGTGCAATCAAAGTCATTCCAGTCTCTCAAAGCTGCCTTTATAATCCATCTCTCTGGTTGCATATGGCCTTCAAAAACCCAAATGTTTCTTTCTTTCCAGAGCCACCATAATATGTAAGTGGATAATTGAATTCTCTCTTCAGATGTATCATTGAAGTCCATGCTACTAATCCACCACCACCACTGTTTGAAGGTAAGATGTTCTTGGTGAACTCTGTTCCACTGCACAGGAGAAATCTGCCACACTTTTACTGCTCTGGGACACTGGAATAAAACATGCTCTTGTGACTCAACAGTTTCCCCACAGACTCTGCAGAAAGGATCAATGAGAAGCCCTCTGGAAATCAGGTTTGTACAGACAGGTAGAATATTGGTAAAGCACTTCCAAATGAAGTGTTTCACCTTGCTCATCACTTTGAGATTCCAACATCTTGATCTAGTTTTCCTGTTCCCCTCAGCCAACAAACTACTCTCAGCCACAACAACTGCATTTGAGTTCCCAGCAACCAAAAATGAGTAGGCTTTTTTTACTGAAAACTTCTTATTAGCCACAAAGGAATAATTCCACATATCAGATTTCCTTGGATTCAGAGTCTTGATTTGCAGAATTTTCTCAGCATCCTCAGCAACAAATATGGCATTTACCAGATTGGAATCCCAATTACAACCTCCTGCAATCAAGAGGTCCTTAACCCAGAACAGATGGTTATCAATAAGAATTCTGAATTCAGGTTTTCTACCAACCGAACCAGGAACCCAACTGGGGTCATTCAACTTAGTATCAGCCCCATTTTTAATAATGATATTCAACTGGGATTTAAGAACAGGCAGTAAAGAAGCCCAGGATTCCCAGGATTTAAGAACAGGCAACTTGTTTGAGTCCAGTCAAAAATAGAACAATTAGGAAAATACTTACCTCTCAGAACTTGACTGACCAGTAGTTCAGGCTGGTCCAAGAGTCTCCACAATTGTTTCAGAATAAGAGCTTTTTTCAAGAGACTTATATCCAGAAATCCCAACCCCCCCTCAAGTTTTGTAGTAACCATTTTTTCCCAGGATTTCCAATGCAAACAATCAGCTTGAGATCCTCCTTTACTCCACCAAAATTTAGCAAATAATCTGCAAATGTTCTTAGACAATCCCACAGGCAGCATAAAGCATGACATAACAAATATAGGAAGATGCTGCAAAACCGATTTGATCAAAATCTCCTTACCAGCCGTGGACAAAAGACTATTCTTCCAACTTTCAATCCTCACTCTAACTGAATCCTCCACAAACTGAAAAGCTTCCTTCTTTGAGGCCCCAATACCTAATGGAAGACCAAGGTATCTTGAAGATCTTTTCACCACCACACCCCTCAGAACAGAACAGATTCTCCTCACCATATCAGATTCACAATTCTTGCTCAGAAACATAGATGATTTATGCAAATTTACCTTCTGCCCTATGAAACACTGGTATTTGTGAAGAATATTCAATAACAACAAATCATGAGAATCATCTGCCTTACAGAAAACCAATGCATCATCTGCAAATAGTAAATGAGAGAGCATAGGTCCACCCCTTGTAATCTTAATACCCCTGAACTGGCCAACACTGATGGCATGATTTAAAACAGAAGATAGAGCCTCTGAAACCAAAATGAATAAATAAGGAGATAGGGGATCCCCCTGCCTGATTCCCCAAGTGGCTCTCACAAACCCACAATTCATCCCATTCAGATTAAAAGGGAATGTTGGGAAAGAAATGCAACTGATTATCCATTTAATGAATGTGCCATGGAAACCCATTTTCTGCATAATTTTCTTGATGCTGTCCCATTCCACCCTATAATATGCCTTCTCCATGTCTAATTTAGCAGTCATGAAGGCTTGAGACCCAGACCTATGTCTATGCAAAAAATGGAAAACCTCATGGGCTATCACAACATTATCTAACAGATTTCTCCCAGGGACAAAAGCAGTTTGAGCAGGGCTAATACATAAATTAAGGCACAACTTAAGTCTCTCAGCAAGCACTTTGGCAACAATTTTATACAGCACACCACAAAGAGAAATAGGCCTGTAACTACTTAAAGATTCTGGATACAAGCATTTTGGGATAAGGGTTATCACTGTGTGCTTCCAGTTTTTGAGTAAAGTACCAGAACTGAAAAAACTTTTAACAGCATTGCACACATCCACTTTGATAATATCCCAAAAATGCTTAAAAAACGAGGCAGTCATACCATCATCCCCTGGTGCTTTGTCAGACTCCATCTTGAAAAGTGCAGCTTTAATCTCCATCTCTTGAACTGGTTGGATAAGTCTGTTGTTGGTGTCTTCAGTTATGGAATGAGATATGTGCTGTAATAGATCCTCACCTCCTGCAGATCCTTCAGATGTAAATAAGGAAGAGTAGAAATCCACCATGTGATTTGTGTTTGTCCCATTTTTGTTGTATTTTTCGTTATTGTTTTATCAATCTTTTTCCCCCGTTTTAGGTCCTTTCGTGAGTTTTTATTCCGTTTTGTGTTTTATTATGTGTTTTGTTCCATTTTTGTTTTCTTTGTGTTTTTCGTGTGTTTTTCTCCTTTTTCTTCTTGTTTTTGGTGTGCAGGTCGAAAGTCTCGTGAGGAGTCGATTTAGCTCAACATAGACCGGGTAATCATGGTTGTGTAGATGGATTTGTTGGATACACATAGGAAAAAGCGGAATTAGAATTCGAGTTCGGATGAACCCGGACGGAGCCAAAGCGTGAAGCCGCGTGAAGTCGCATGCGAACGTCTCTAGTGTGATGGTCAAGAGCTTCGGGAGAACCGGTTTTCGAGAATCTTGTGGGGAAGCTGACACCATTGGATAGAGGGATTCGTTAGCTACGCGTAGGAAAAAACGGAACTCAATTCCGAGTTAAAACGAACCCGAACGAGCAAAAATCGTAAGATGGTGCAGTGCAGATTTTGGTCTCCGCGGCCGCGGGATTTTCTTCGCCGCGGCCGCGGCGAACAAAAACAGCCAGGTCCCAAATTTCAGCAGCAAAAAGTCGCGGCCGCGGGATCAGGTCGCGGCCACGGAGGTCGCGACAGCAGGGTTTTAAAAGCAGTTTTCAGATTCGTTTTTAGAGAGTTTTTGGCGAGGTTTGAACACCTCTCGACCGGGGTGAAAACCCTAGGTCCCGAGAGAACACAAAATCTCTTTCTCCTCTTTTCTTTCTTCTTCTTCCTCGTTCCTTTTCTTCTCTTAATCATTATTTTCCATTTTTCTTCTTCTTTTTCTTAGTTAGGGATTAAGCTTGTAACTCGAATTCAACATCTAAACTTGGATTGATTGTAAGTATTTCTTTCTCTTGTTTAATTCATGAATAATGGTTGACTTGAGTAGAATGATTATATTTGTTGAATTTGATTTATGTAGCTAATTCCTTCTGCTAGGGATAGGGGATGATTGTTCTTGATTAATTTCGTTATTATTGGGCTTTAATTTGTTCCTGCTTGTGCGAGTTGCTTTAATTAGAGTTAATTAATTCTTACTTGATAACTTGATATAATCGAAGGGTGACACTTCGATCTTGCAATTGGTATCAACTGAATGTTAATTTGTCGAGTTAGGGTTTGTTGGTTCTATATGATTAGTTGATTAAACACCTTCTAGTTGAATTAGCGACTTTTAGAACCGAAAGGGGAGAAGTCGTAGACCTAGGCTCGCATGAGATAGATGATTTCGTAACTGAATAGTCTATAGGTTTTGGATTGAAATACACACTTGCCGATGACCCGTCTCTTGTTACGAAAAGTTATTGAGACTGGGATAATTGACATGTGTTGTATGCTTGAGCTAGCTCGTCTATGTTCAATCCCTTGTTACGAAGAGTTATTGGGAGCGAACCGCTAGATGTCTAAGCGAGAGTGTCAATCTCAAACCGAACAATTGATTGCCCGGTTTTGCTTAGAACTTGAATAAATTATCCCCGATTTCCTAGCTTCTTTATCGCTTTCTAGTTCGTACTTTAGGTTCGTTTTTGTTTGCTGTTGATTTCTTAGTTGATAATATATTCCTCATTTCCGATTAGAGTGTTTAGGTTTTTATCTTCTTTTTGTGTGAAATCAATACCGAAGTTAAATTCCGAACCGCCTTCCTCGAGAGATCGACCCGGGAAACGAATCCTTGATTCGGTACTCGGTAAAAATAACAATTTGTGCTACAACAAATTTGGCGCCGTTGCCGGGGAAGGCAAGTAGGATATTTGGTTTTGGTATTGATTTTATTTTCCGTGTTTCTCTTTGTTTTTTGTTTTTAGGATTTTTGTTCTCTCTTTTGTGCATATTTGTTTTTCTTCTTGTCTTCTTTGTTTTTGTTTTCTTTTTCCTTCTTTTTCGTGGCTACGTGTGGTTGTTTTGTTTTGGTGTGCAGGTATGTTGAATTTCAACCGTGTGTTTCCCTCACCGCACACCCAGTCTTGGGGTCACGAGCCGAGCTATCACATCGGGTGCTACTACCAGTCATCTCCGTACTCTTCCGAGCAGTGCTGGAATCCCTACACGGTCGAGCAAACTTACGAATCCCACGATCATAATAAGAAGCTCGACCAGATTCTCGATTTTATAAATTCTCAAACAGCTCGAGAAGAAGAGGCCGCATTCAACGAGAAAATTGATCTGATCCTCGATCAGATGATGGCCCAAGAAAACCGATGTGCCCGTTTGAGCGAGCAATTGGAAAGTCTAGCAAGGCGCATCGACTCTATCGAGTCACGAGCCAAAGAGCCCATGGTTGGGGACCCACATCCGGCACTTATACCTTTCGATGAGCTTGAGGATGACGCTTCGGGATACAACGCCAAACTTGACCTCATCCTCGATCGTATGATGGCCCAAGCAAACCGAGAAGGGGAGATTGAGTTCGGATGTGCTCGACTGAGCGCTCAAATGGAGAATCTAACAGCACGTGTCGACTCTATCGAGTTGAAAGTCGACGACTCTCATCTTATGGTTGGTGCCCAAACATGTATTCCGATGCACATGTGTGAGACCGAAGAGGAAGATGATGTTCTCTATTGGGATGACGATGTTTCGGAAGGGGAGATTCATGGACTTGATCACATCACCATTTCTCGAGTCCCTCCTCCTGCTACTGAGATGGAGCATTCACCTTCGAAGTCACACTGTGCTACCAAGTGGGCTAGAGTCAGCTCGACTTGCTCCACGGATTTGCTCGTTATTCCTGAGATTGACGATAGAGCTCGGGTGGGAAAAGCTCTGCGTTTAGAATTGGGGATTGCTCGTGCCCGAGACCACTTCATACAGAACATAGCCACCCGGATCCACCATGCCCGCCTTCTTGCCACCCTTCCCATGCTGCCACTTCTGGAAAATACGAAGGCGTGGCATGATCGCCATTTCTTTTTGGACCCTGGCTGAGTTCCTCGCAGGTTTCGTCAAGCTAATGACGTTAAACAAGCGCTTCTTGGGAGGCAACCCAAGTGATTTACTGCTTTCTTAGTTATTTTCTTTTTGCTTTTTATTTTATCTTTTAATAATTGGAGCTTGGAGTTTCTGTGTTTTTCTTGGCAGGTACAAGTTTGCGAGCTTGAGCAGGACGAACATCGAGGTCCAGAGCGGTGCGTGGGCGAGTAGCTCGTATGTGGATGCTTATTCTCCTCGGAGCATCTTCGGTTTGCACACCCTTTTTCTTTCTCTTTTTATCTTTTTTGAGTTGTTCTTTCCTCTGTCTTTGCTTTTGAGTCTTGTGTTGCTGTCGTAGTTGCTAAGTTTGGTTCATTATGTGAAAGTGCTAGGTCCTTTATTTGAATTCCTGTTTCGTGTTGAAGCAATGAGGACATTGCCTCATTTTAAGTGTGGGGGAGTTATTCGGATTTTTGCATGCTTATATGGTGGGCCGGGCTAGTTTAGGTTTTTGTGTTGTTGAGCATGGTATTGGTGGATTATATGATTTGTTGATGGATGTTTGATGAAATTGGGAAGTTGTGATGACGATTGTGTTGATCATTGCCTCGATATTGCTTGATTGCTTTGAGTGACATTTATTTACCTTGTGAGGTTTTGAGCCTAACTCTTCTTTCTTGTGAGATATTGGTCATATTCTTGAATGATTAGAACTTGCCTTGAGTTTGTTTGAAAGGAATCAATTAGAGTTTAAAATTGCGAATATGATTGAGGCGCTTTGTTTGATTAGCTCACTTCTGCCTTGTTCTTTGGTCCTATTTATTATTCCACTAGTAGCCCGTTTGAGCTTAAAGCCTTTTCTTGTCAACCTGTTGACTGATTTGTGTGATGATTGGGTGATTGGTGGCATTTCTGAATATGGTGGACATTGAGTTGCATTTTGTTTACTTGACCATTTAAAAAAAAAAAAAAACTTTGAGAGTTCACAAGACGAATCAATGGATTCTGCTCCTCTTACTAGTCGATTCATTTTGACAGGTAATGAGCATTGGGAAACTACTGTAGGAAACTTGGATGACCTCCAATGTTCACACCTACAGAATGTTGTCCTTTTGATTCAATCTTGTTGGGAAAAAGTTACTCTCCAAATAAAAAAAAAAAAAAAAAAAAAAAAGAGAAAAAGAAAAAATAAGGTTAAGTGATGATGTTGCAACTTGTTCTGAGCATCTATGTGTTGTTTGTGGAATGTTGGTTGGGTAGTAAGTGTGTTGTCATGATTATTCTGGATGAGTGGCGGAGAACTCGAGTAATCTATTTACTCGAGAACCTTGATTGTTTATTTGAGCTTCTTGTCCATATATATCTGTACCTTTACCTTAAGCCTACATTACAACCCGTGAAGTCCTCTTGATTCGCAAGTTTGAGCTTTGATTGTTTCTGAGTAATTTAAACGATTGGCAAGCATATGTTGAAACTTGAATATTGACCAATCTGAGAGAACCTATCATATATTCATGTAAAAGAATGAGTGAGGCATACACTAATATTTCTGTATTTGAGAGTTTGTCATTTTGAGGCCAAGTTGATATTTGAGGCATATGGTCGTACAATCGTTGGAATTCAACCCGGTTGAGTTAAATATTTCTGAGGCTCTTCTTGTATGAAATTGATATCCATGCTCGTGTCTTGTTTTCTTTTCTTTTCTTTTGTTTTTGTTCGGGACGAACAAAGGTTTAAGTGTGGGGGAGCTGTTTGTCCCATTTTTGTTGTATTTTTCGTTATTGTTTTATCAATCTTTTTCCCCCGTTTTAGGTCCTTTCGTGAGTTTTTATTCCGTTTTGTGTTTTATTATGTGTTTTGTTCCATTTTTGTTTTCTTTGTGTTTTTCGTGTGTTTTTCTCCTTTTTCTTCTTGTTTTTGGTGTGCAGGTCGAAAGTCTCGTGAGGAGCCGATTTAGCTCAACATAGACCGGGCAATCATGGTTGTGTAGATGGACTTGTTGGATACACATAGGAAAAAGCGGAATTAGAATTCGAGTTCGGATGAACCCGGACGGAGCCAAAGCGTGAAGCCGCGTGAAGTCGCATGCGAACGTCTCTAGTGTGATGGTCAAGAGCTTCGGGAGAACCGGTTTTCGAGAATCTTGTGGGGAAGCTGACACCATTGGATAGAGGGATTCGTTAGCTACGCGTAGGAAAAAACGGAACTCAATTCCGAGTTAAAACGAACCCGAACGAGCAAAAATCGTAAGATGGTGCAGTGCAGATTTTGGTCTCCGCGGCCGCGGGATTTTCTTCGCCGCGGCCGCGGCGAACAAAAACAGCCAGGTCCCAAATTTCAGCAGCAAAAAGTCGCGGCCGCGGGATCAGGTCGCGGCCGCGGAGGTCGCGACAGCAGGGTTTTAAAAGCAGTTTTCAGATTCGTTTTTAGGGAGTTTTTGGCGAGGTTTGAACACCTCTCGACCGGGGTGAAAACCCTAGGTCCCGAGAGAACACAAAATCTCTTTCTCCTCTTTTCTTTCTTCTTCTTCCTCGTTCCTTTTCTTCTCTTAATCATTATTTTCCATTTTTCTTCTTCTTTTTCTTAGTTAGGGATTAAGCTTGTAACTCGAATTCAACATCTAAACTTGGATTGATTGTAAGTATTTCTTTCTCTTGTTTAATTCATGAATAATGGTTGACTTGAGTAGAATGATTATATTTGTTGAATTTGATTTATGTAGCTAATTCCTTCTGCTAGGGATAGGGGATGATTGTTCTTGATTAATTTCGTTATTATTGGGCTTTAATTTGTTCCTGCTTGTGCGAGTTGCTTTAATTAGAGTTAATTAATTCTTACTTGATAACTTGATATAATCGAAGGGTGACACTTCGATCTTGCAATTGGTATCAACTGAATGTTAATTTGTCGAGTTAGGGTTTGTTGGTTCTATATGATTAGTTGATTAAACACCTTCTAGTTGAATTAGCGACTTTTAGAACCGAAAGGGGAGAAGTCGTAGACCTAGGCTCGCATGAGATAGATGATTTCGTAACTGAATAGTCTATAGGTTTTGGATTGAAATACACACTTGCCGATGACCCGTCTCTTGTTACGAAAAGTTATTGAGACTGGGATAATTGACATGTGTTGTATGCTTGAGCTAGCTCGTCTATGTTCAATCCCTTGTTACGAAGAGTTATTGGGAGCAAACCGCTAGATGTCTAAGCGAGAGTGTCAATCTCAAACCGAACAATTGATTGCCCGGTTTTGCTTAGAACTTGAATAAATTATCCCCGATTTCCTAGCTTCTTTATCGCTTTCTAGTTCGTACTTTAGGTTCGTTTTTGTTTGCTGTTGATTTCTTAGTTGATAATATATTCCTCATTTCCGATTAGAGTGTTTAGGTTTTTATCTTCTTTTTGTGTGAAATCAATACCGAAGTTAAATTCCGAACCGCCTTCCTCGAGAGATCGACCCGGGAAACGAATCCTTGATTCGGTACTCGGTAAAAATAACAATTTGTGCTACAACAATTTGCAATAGTCTCCTGGGAATCACACACAACCCCTGTATTAGTGACAAGTCTCTGGATCAAGTTGGTCTTCCTCCTTTGGGCAGTATAAGCATGAAAAAACCGGGTGTTTCTATCCCCCTCTTTCATCCACAAGGCTCTGGACTTAAGTCTCCAGTAATTCTCCTCCTCTTTGTGAGCACAATCTAGTTCAGCCTTTAAGGAGCCCCATTCCTCCCAGTCCCTCTCCTGCCCACTCAACCTCATCTCTTCCAATCTAGGAGTCAGAGTCTTGATAATCTTATCACTGTTTCTGCTAATGGGTTTGTGCCATGCAAGCAAGGCCATTCTTGTGCTCTTGATCTTTTGGTGAACTTGGTACATCTGAGACCCTTCCACAGAGATTTGCCACCCAACCGGAACTGCTTCTTTCGCTCCCTCCAATTTTACCCAAGAGCTATCAAACTGAAACCTCTTCTTCCTTCTATCATTCTTCATATCAGTATCAAAAATCATCATATTATGGTCAGATGCTGTTCTAAAGAAATTGATAACCTCCATCCTAGGGAAATTCAGCATCCAATCATATGATATGAATACCTTATCAAGCCTCTCTTCAATATAGCCATCCCCAGCTCGGTTATTACCCCAAGTAAAAAAAGCTCCCTTTTGATCCATTTCCTTCATTCCCATATTTGCAATGAAAGAGTTGAACCCTCTGAAACTGGACTCAAGTCTCCTAACACCCCCTCTCTTCTCCTCATTACAAGAAATATCATTCCAGTCCCCAGCCATCACCCAGCATCTAGCCCAATTCTGCTTGTTGTTCTCAAGAAACTCCCACTGTCTTTCCCTTTCATGCCTATCTGTGCTTATATAAACAAAGATCAACCAGCACCACTCTCTAACACCTGCTCCTTTGGCTTCCACTTGCATACAGAATTTATTAGCCAACAACTGCCTGATCTCAGTATTCACATCCCACATCACCAGCATATCTCCTCTAGTACCATTTGGTTTTTCCAAGAACCATCTACTCTCAAAACCCAACTTTCTACACACTGTATTAGTAAAAGCCCAGGACTTTTTAGTTTCTGATAAAAATATAATATTTGGGTGATGGACTCTTTTAGAGTCCTTGATATGGGAAACTGTAGAGGGCCCACCCAGCCCTCTACAATTCCACGCCATAACTTTCATTGGTCACCTCGGGGCCATTTAAGGCTGGCCTTCTCCACCTTAGACTCATCACTGTCAGCTTTCAACTCCTTCTCTTTGCCTTCTTGATCAAGATTCTGCAGACCCCCACCATACATCACAAGTTCTCTGTTTCTCTTCAAAGTCTTATTAATCTTCTCCCCTTTAGATACCTCAATAGCCAGGGAACTATTTGTAGGCTGCTCAGACATTCTTAATAATCTGCCTGTATTGTTCTGCTTCCTCTTCCATGAAGCCCCTGTCTTTCCTCCTGCAGCTACCTTTGGCTTACTTGTAATTCCCATCTCAACAGTGGTTTTAGTTGCCAATTCTTGGTTTTCCATCTCCATTAGGATTTCTACATTCCCCTCCCCTGTGTCATTAGTATGCTGCCCAGTTTCTCCCCCAGATAAAATGAGATCTGAATCCTTGGGAGCAACAGGCTGTATCATACTCTCTAAATTTGACCCCCTCACCTAATTTGACTGCTCCCTAGTGGCTACAATCTGGATTTGTTTGTTTTTTATGGGTGTAGTACTAGTAGCCACAAAGGAGTCATGATTTGAAGGTTGTTGTGGTGGAGTACTCTTGCCTTCTGAGCTGCTAGCCTGATAATTCCTCCCTCCATGATATGTTTCCTTAGCTTTCAGCCATTTCCCAAATTGCCCTTCAACAGGTGTGCCCTTTTCAATATCCTCCGATCTGCGTTTACATCCCCTATCAAGGTGTCTGATCATCCCACAATAATAACATAGATTGACAAGTCTTTCATGACGAAATGTCACCACCACCCTTTGCTCACCCAGCTTAACCACCGTGCATCTTCGAATCGGCTCTTTCAGATTCAATGTAACCAGAATTTTGAGGAAGCTCCCCATTTCCCCTCCTACTTTACAAATAACAACATTTTTAACTCGATTAAATATCCTCCCTATGCACATACCCACTTCCTTGCTCATCCAGTTAAGAGGGACGTTCATCACTTGCACCCAGATGTTTATCTCATTAAAGCACTTGTGGAAGCTATGAAGCCCAGGTACGCATTCTGTTAATATAAAATATTGATTCTCGTATAACCAATTATTACCCGCTGCAACTTTGGCCTTATCCTCCAGAGAAGTGAAAATGAATTGGAAAAAGTTTGAACTTATCTCTTTCACTTCCATCGCTTGTTGCAGCTTCCAAATGCTACTCATGGTACGTTTGATCCCCATTATGCCCGCCGGACGATCACCGACAATTGTCCCTTAACACTATCTAATTCAAATAAAAATAAAAATAATAAAGTCAGTAAAACCCTCAATTTCTAATTTAAAATTATTATTGAAAAATTTGAAATAATTTATTAACTATATTATAAGAATATATTTAATATTTTAATATATTTGTTTAATGTTTTTTATTATTTTTTGGTTGCAAATAATGTATTATATATGTTATTATGTTTATTTAGCATTTTATAAATATATGTATAAAACAATATAAAAGTTAATAATTTTTTATATAACTTTTTACAAATTACATATTAGCCTATGGGTTAAATTGAAAAACAATCAAATATATAAAATTGCAAATAGGTCCCTCAATTATACCTAATTCTAAAAAACATAACTCACAAAAAAAATGCAATATATAATTAAATGTTGGCAGCCCGCCACCCTGGTGTCTCCTTGGCCTCCAGTCGACAACGCCCGTGCAACTGCGAGTTTCGACGACCGTTCATCTAGAGTTTCCAGGTCGTTCGAAGGTCCACGACGGTCCCCAACGAGTGAAAATGATGGATCTTGGTGGAGGTCCACGGCAGTCCACGGGAGTTAAACATGACGGATCTTGATGGAAGTCCACGACGATCTCCGACGACTGCTGTTGTGCTGGAGAGCATAGAGGTCGCCGGCGGCGGACTCTGCAGATAACGGCAGTGGTGCATTACTGTCTGTACGTGTGTGTATGTGTGTGTGTGTGTGTTTATGTATCAGTGTGTGTGTGTGTGTGTATGTGTGACAGTGTGTGCGTGTGTTTTGTGTGTGTTGTGCGTGTGTGCTGCGTGTGTTTTGTGTGTGTTGTGTGCTGATGTGGGTGTGTGTGTGCTGATGTGTGTGTGTGTGTGACTGTGTGTGTGTGACGGGGTGTGTGTGTGTGGTGTCAGCGTGTGTGTGTGTGAGAGACAAAATTGATGAGAGAGAGAGGGTGAGGTGACAAGTGGTAGTTTGTGTGTGCATGGGTCCCACTGTTTTTTTATCTTGCCAATTACCAGATTGCCCCTATTGGATGTATAATTTTGGTTTTTTTAGCCATTTCTTCACTGAGCACCATTCTCACCGGAGCGTGAGCCATCTAGGGTTGGGTTCAAGTGAGAATGGTGCTAAGTGAAAGAAAAAGAATAAATCGTAAACATTAGATTGAACGATCTAATGGCTAAAAAAAGTCAAAATTATACCTTCATTAAAGGTAATGTGGTAATTTTGAACACACCACACACCCACTCACATGTGGGCCCACCTGACACAACCATTATCTCTCTCTCGTATTAACTCTCTCTCACTCGCGCACACACACACACACACACTCAACCAGACGCATTCACACAACAAACACGCACACTATACACACACCTACTGACACATATATGCACAAAGGCATGTATCTATTGTCGGCGACCACCGAAATCGACCCCGACCACCGTCACAGCCCTCGTGCCACCAGCCGCAATCGCCTGCGACCACTGGAATCGGCTCAACCGCCGTCACAGTCCTCTCGCCAACAGGGGAAACCAGGGAAATTCAAGCCGCCGGGACACGGTACAGAATCGGTTGTTGTGTACAAATTGTTATATTTACCGAGTACCGAATCAAAAGATTCGTTCCCCAGGTCGATCTCACGAGGAAGGCGGTTCGGAATTTAGCTTTGGTATCGATCACACAGAAAAAAGAAAATAAATCCTAAACACTCTAATCAGATAGGGGGTTTGAATAATTACTAACCAAGAAATATTAAAAAGCAATAATCTACCTAAAAATGTAAACGGAACAAGATGGAGAAGCTAGGGAATCGGGGATAATTTATTCAAGTTCTTAGCAAAACCGGGCAATCAATTTTTCAGTTCTAGATTGACACTCTCGCTTAAACATCGAGCGGTTCGCTCCCAATAACTCTTCATAACAAGGGATTGAACATAGACAAGCTAGCTCGAGCATACAACACATGTCATTTATCCCAGTCTCAATAACTTTTCGTAACAAGAGACGGGTTATCGACAAGTACGTATTTCAATTCAAAACCTATAGACTATTCAGTTACGAAATCATCAATCTCATGCGAGTCTAGGTCTACGACTTCTCCCCTTTCGATTCTAAAAGTCGCTAATTCAATTAGAAGGTGTTTAATCAACTAATCATGGGAATCGACAAAACCTAACTCGACAATCAATATTCAATTATTTCCAATCACAAGATCGAAGTGTCACCCTTCGATTATATCAAACTATCAAGCAAGAATTCATCAAATCCGAACTGTATCAACTCACATAAGCATGAACAATTTAAGCCCGACAAATGCAAATTAACCAAGAACAATCATCCCCTATCCCTAGCAAAAGAATTAGCTACGTAAAATCAATTCAACACAATTAATCATTCTCCTCAAAATAATCATTTTCATGAATTGGTCAAAAGAGAAAAACTTACAATCAATCCCAAATTCGAGTGTTGAATCCAAAAATACAAAGCTCAATCCTTGATTACTAAAAAGAAGAAGAAGAAAAATGGAAAATAAAAGTGAAAAGAAGAAGAAGAAAAACGAAGAGGAAGAAGAAGGGGAGGAGAAGGGAGTTTTTGAGTTTTCTCGGGACCTAGGGTTTTCACCCAGGTCGAGAGGTGGATCCCTATGTCGAAGTCCCGAACATATATTTATAGTTGTCCTGGCTCCACGGCGTGGTGGTCTTGCAACGGCGCGGAAGATGGGCGCTTCGCGGCGCGGGGTTCGCAGCACGGCGCGGCAGGTGGCCTGGTTGGAGTCACAGTCCATGTCGAGGCAGCATCGCGGCGCGACA